AGACCAGAGGATGTACATTGGTACAGATAGCAACTGGAAACACAGGTAATCCAGGACAGATGACTCCTTCAGGACCAATGGTGAGAATGGCGATGCCTGGAGGTTGGAGGGAATGTGAGGTAGAAAGGGGGAACCGACTAGAAGAATCTATGTATAGCCTCCTCCCTGGGGGATGGACAGCAGAGAAAGTAGGGAGGGAGAGGGAAATGAGCAGCCGATATTAAGGGCTCAAGTAGAAGGCAAATGTTTTGAGAATGATGATGGCAACAAATGTACATATGTGCTTGACACAATGGATGTATGTATGGATTGTTATAGGAATTGTACGAGCCACCAATAAAATGATTAAAAAGAAAATAAATCCTGTGTATCAGATGTTTACATTGCGATTCATAACAGTAGCAAAATTACAGTTATGAAGTAGTAACAAAAATAATTTTATGGCTGGGGGTCACCACAGCATGGGGAACTGTATTAAAGGGTCGCGGCATTAAGAAGGTTTGAACCATTGATCTAGAGAAAATAAGTCAAAGATTTCCAGATACAAAATATTGGAGTAAAGGGCCCTAGTGGCACACTGTGTGATTAGTTGCTAATTGAAAGGTCTGTGGTTTCAATCCTCCAGCCATTGGTAAAGGTTACAGCCTTACCAAACTCTGGTGGGCAGGGTACTTGGCCCTGTAGGGTTGCCAGAGTTGGAATCGATTGCTCAGTGGCAACAGCTTCAGTTTTACAGGTTTAAGTGTTGATGTCAGCAATTAAGTCCAAGTTTTCTAACTTTATTATAGAATCTTTGGTATGTAAATGATGCTGTTTTCATGGGGAATTAAACTGCGATGATTTGAGACTGTGAAGAAGATATATGTTGTTTACTTAGTATAATTCAATAAAAATTTCTTTGTTTCATTACAAATAAGTGTGTACTGTGTGTTAAGCTCTTTGGTTTTATCAGTGAACAAAAGACCAAACTCTTTACATGAGTTTATATTTTAGCCAAGGAAGAAGAAAAAACTGGAATTACTAAGTCAATTTGTTAGTATATTAGAAGCTCATATATTCTGTAGGGCAGGGATGAGGAACATATGGCCCACTAAATCATCAGTACCAGTTAACATCACACGCCTCACCAAAGAGAAGTAGTTTCAGCTATAACATTAGGGGTGATTAGGTTAATTAAATGTTTGACCAAAAGTAGCAGGTTAATTTCCCACCCCCACCCCCATTTTCTTCTGTTGGTTTGTTTATTCCCTTGTTAGGCGGCTAATTTTTAAGTGGACAATTTTGTATGGCCCTCAAATGATGTTATAAATAACCAAATGACCCTTGACAGACTAAGGTTCCCAGGCCTGCTGTAGGGGGAAAAATGTATAAGACAGGTGGGGCAGACTGGCCCAGAGAACATATAGAACCAAGAGCTCAAAAGCTAGATAGAACATGCTGGCATGTTTGAGGCGTGATAAAGAAAGAGATAATGTGCCTGAGGAGAGAAGAGTAGAAAGAAGGAAAGAGACCTGGAGGTTGAATTCAGGGAGTATGCATCATAATAGAGGGTGTGGTGGGTCTTTGTAAGATTTAGACCTTTATTCTGAGTAAAATGGGGGTGCCTTTGCAGGGTTTTGAACATTTTAATAAGTTATCCTTGATGTATTACAAGTTGATAGTTAAAAGAGGCAGTGAGAAACAAAGATCTCTGTTAGGTTATTGCAGTAATCTCGGAGAGACAAGTCTTATCAGATTGGTGGTAGTAGAAATGGTAAAAATGGTTGAATTCTAGGTATATTTTGAAGAGGCTGACAATAGCATTTGGTGACATAGTTTGGACGGGAAATAGGAAAGACAGGGAAGAACAAGGATGATCCCAAAGTTTCTTAGCTTGAGCATCTGGAAGGTGGAGTTGCCATCAAATGAGATGGGAAGGATTGCAGGATAGAATCAGTTTACGAGTATGACCAGGAGTTCAGTTTTGGATATGTTAACATTTGAGGTGTCATTGAGATATACAAGTGAAGCTGTTTAGACTTTAGTGATGAGGTCTGGGCTAGTGATAAAAATTTGGAATGTGTTTGTTAGAGAAGAGCTCTAAAGCTGTCCAATATTGAGAGATTGAAGAGAGAAGAAATCTTCAAGGAAACTGAGAAAGGGACAAGTGGTGAGGTGGAACATAAACATAGACAATATCACCTGGGAACTTAAGGGAAGAAAGTAAGCCACAAAGGAAGAAAGAATCGACTGTTAAGATTTTGCTGGATAGGTAGAGTGAACATTAGAATTGACAATCATATTTAGCAATGTGAATGCCCTTGGTTATGATGGGGTTTTCAGTGGAACATGGAAATGACCTGGTTAGCATTATTTACATGTCTTTTAAATGGGTTATTTTTCTAAGTTTCAGTATCTTCTTTGCCATGTTCAGGTGTGACGCCCAATTGGTGGTATGTCTGACAGTGGATCACAACTTGGTTCAATGGGTAGCCTGACCATGAAATCACAACTTCAGATCACTGGTAAGTCTTAGAAAAGGGCCCACTACTCTAATTAATTTTTGTCATTTCTAAGTTAGAAAAATGCTAAGAAAACCTTCCATGTCTATTGCATATAAGGTCCTGAAATTATCTAAATGACTAGATTAACCAAATTTAGTTATGTAAAATAACATTTTTATTTCGATATTCTTGGATATTTTACAAGTTTTTTAAAAATGATTTTTTGTTTTTGAGGAAAAACACTGGCCAATTTAATAGTTTCTATATGTACAACGCGGTGATTTTGATTATACAATTCTTCCCGCTGTATAACAGTTCTCACCTTCCTTTCCTAGGTGTTTCTCCTCCATCAACATGTGCTCCCTGTCCCTTGAACTTTCAGTCTAACCTATCAAGTTACTGGTGTCACTTTGATCCCTTATAGATAGATGTTAATGAGCACAGTGCCCCCAAGGAAGGCATTCTTTACAATTTAGATTGTTAAGTTTTAAGTTAACGACACCAGGGAAAGTTTAAGGTTTAAAGTTTACCTCAGGGTGTAGTAATTTTGATCATTCATCCAGTCTACCATGGCTCCAGAAAGTCTGGATTCCATGAAGATTTGAAATTCTGCTTTGTATTTTCTTCCTTTTTATCAGAATTCTTTGGTAAAATCTTTCATCGAGAAATTCAGTTATGGTAGCCCTCGTGGATATATGTGCTTCACCCTCCCCCCAATATGTTTGCCTGAACAATTGCTGCTATTGTTTTAAACAATTTTACTGAGGTAGAATTCACATACCATAAAATTCACCTGTTTAAAATATGGTTTTTAATATATTCACTTGTACAACATGTGTCATAGTCAATCTTCAAGCATTTTCATCATCCCAGAAAGAAACCTGTTCCCAATAGGAGTCATTCTCCCATTTCCCCCACCTGCCCCTAGTTCACAACTAATCTACTTTCTGTGTCTGTTGATTTGCCTGCTCTAGATAGCTTGCATAAGTAGAGTAATATAAGAGACCACTTGCATAAGTGTCCTCTTGTGTCTGGCTTCTTTAACTTGACATAATTTCAAGATTCACGTTATAATGTGTGCCGGTATTTCTTTTTAATTGCCAAATAATATGCCACATTTTATTAACTTATAATGTTTATTATTTGATGACATTTACATTGTTTCAATTCTGGATATTTTCAATAATGCTGTTATGAATATTTGCATACAAATTTTGTGAGGGATATGGTTTCAGTTCTCATGTATAATTGCTGGGTCATGTGGTATTATACTATGAATATATATGTATGTATGCTCATTAACATTTATTGTACATTAGATGAAGGTTTACACAGCATAATAGTTGTTACACAGATTGTTCCATGACATTAGTTGTAATGCCTACAATGTGTTAGTATGCTCCGTATTTCTTCCCTAGGCTCCCTGCTTCTGTTCATTTGGTTCCTTGTTCTTCCTTACCTGCTGATCTTTTGGTTTGGACAAACATTGCCTCTTTGGTCTTGGATAGTTGATTGTTCAAGTGAGCACATTCTTTATGGCTGTTGTTTACTTTATAGTCCCATCTATTTTTTTGTTTGAAAGATTGCCTTTGGAAGGCTCCAGTTTCAAGTTAGAAAGTTATTTTAAGGCAGTGGTCTTAGGGGGCTCCTCGAGTCTCATTCAGACTAGTAAACCTGGTATTTTAAACTAAAATTGTTTAACAATTTTTACCTATTCTACGTTGGGACCATCTTGGACAGAATTTAGGGTCAAAAGTTAAATGTAAATAATTCATAGTGCTATTGTTTAGGACAGGGGTCCTCAAACTTTTTAAACAGGGGGCCAGTTCACTGTCCCTCAGACCACTGGAAGGCCGGACTATAGTTTTTAAAAAAAACTACAGTTTAAAAAAGAACATATTCCTATGCACACTGCACATATCTTATTTTGAAGTGAAAAAACAAGGGCAAAAACACCAGGTGGGCTGCGTAAATGTCCTTGGCGGGCCGCATGTGGCCCACGGGCTGTAGTTTGAGGACCCCTGGTTTAAGAATTTGGCTGCAAGTTTTCACTTTACTAAATTCCTTATAAGCATATTACAGGAAAGGTAGCTTTATTTTTCTTTTTAGAGCTTCTATCAGTACACAAGTAATATTTATTCTCCATGATAGAAATCAGACTTGTTTATAGAATTGATATATTGCATTTAGCTTGCTCAAATCTGAGCTGCAAGCTGTTAGTCATGCAGATGGATCAAAGTAACTTACTGAGGGGTAGCTCCTTTTGGAATTCCTGTTGACATTAAAATGATAACTTTCTTGGGTATCTGAAAGTACCTGAATTGATCCAGTGTTGGGAAATTGTTTTTTTTAGCAGTTTTATTGACATATAATTCACATATCATATAATTAATGTGATCATATTAAAAAGAGTTGTTTCACGTAGCTGCTGTAGTCAAAAAAGAGCCCACAGCGAGGTTTTCCCTTGACGGTCGCTGTTCGGTTTGCTGTAACCGATCTGCAACATTTCAGGAAAAGACATTGCAAAAAAAAAAATAAATAAATAAAAAGAGTTGTATAATCATCATCACAATCAATTCTAGAACACTTTCTTCCTTCTATTAGAAGGGAAATTTAACTTCACAGTAGAATTTATCAGAAAGACACAAAAAATTTAGCAGCAATTCATAAATAATGGTGGCCTTTAAAAGTTTGTGGAAAAATGGAAGGAAATATAATGGCATTTCTCCATGAACTTTTTGATGCCCTTTCATATGCAGTAGAAAATAAATAGCATATATTGATAACATAGTGGATACTGTCATTTCATTAATAAAATAGAAACTATCTGAGAAAGATGAGGGACAGCAAGGTCACTTAGCATAAAATAGTTCACCAAGACAATACTCTACATCTGACTTTGGTGAATAATGGAGGAATGGGACCATAAAAGTTACAGCCATCTAGTTGCAACTATTAATCTTTCTCTGGAAGATTAATGAAAATCAAAAGACATATGGAAACATTTGGTTCAATGGACTAATAGAGCATGGGAACATCAGTCTCCATGACTTGAGACCAGAAGAATTAGATGGTGCCTAGCTACAACTGCCAACTGCTGTGAAATGGATTACATTAGAAGATTCTGGATAGCATGGGCGAAAAAAAGGTGGAAGTTTTTTTTCAAAATAGGAATATTCCAGTGGGAATCAAACCTTTCTGTGATAAACAAGTTCAGTGAAATTAAATGTCATACTACAGGACAAATTTTTTTAAAGGCTGGACAGGAGAAATTTTTAAAAGTTCAAATCTCAAAGTTTGGATCGCATGGAACTTTGTTACTATATGAGGGGGTACCCCCCAAAAAAAAGGGTGGGGGGGAAGCTCTGCTGGGCAGAACTTTCATAGTACACATTTGTCTGGCTAGGTGAGCATCAAACTACTCACTCTGAGTTGGTGTATCCAGTGGCGTTGCCTGGGGATGTTCTCTGGTCACAGTGAATGTTTTTGTAAAAGCAATTTCCCTGTAATGGCCGATTTAAGAGAACAGCTTGTGGCTATGAAATTTTATTTCCTGGTTGTGAGAAAATACCGCAGAAACTGTTGTGATGTTGAACACAGCTTCCAAGGACAGCACTATGGGAAAAACTCAAGTGTACGAATTGTTCTCTTGTTTTAAAAAAGGTGAAATGTCGACTGATGACAAACCTTGTTTTGGATGTCTGTCAAGTTCCCAAATGGACAAAAATGTCAGCTCCTAGTGCATTTGGAATTCATTCCACCAGGTCAGACCGTTAATCAGACTTTCTAGTTAGAGGATCTGAAAAGATTGCATAACAGTGTGCGACAAAAAAGGCCTGATTTGTGACTTTTGCTCATAAAACAACGTACCTGCTCATGCAGCCATCTTGATGCACCAGATTTTGGCAAAATACAGCATACCTCTCTTGCCCCCCACACTTTACTTAACTGATCTCTCACTGTGCGACTTCTTTTTGTTTCTGAGAATGAAGAGGGACATGACAGTAATTTGATTAAATAGATGAGGTGAAGAAAAAAACCGCCGGGCTGTCAGCCATCCAAACAGATGAGTTTGAAAACTGTTTCCAAAAATGAAATTGCAGACTTGACAAATGTATTAAGTATAATGGAGAGTACTTTGAAGATGATAAAGTTGTTTTGTAAAAAAAATTTTTAGATACATAGCTTGTAGTAGGATTCCAGGTTTTTTTTGGGTACCTCCTTGTAAGTCAGGTTACTTGCTGTTTTCCCCCTGTGATCAGTGGATTGCTGCAGTCAAGTCTCTCAGTAGTGATGCTTATCTTTGGTCTCATTAGATGCCTTAAAAAAAAAAAAATCAGATACTTATTGTGCCATGGGGAAAAAAACCAAAATGATTTCCAGGTCAGGATTAATGGCAAATTTATAATGAAGCTCTTGCAAGAAGTTTACAGGAATAGTGCCCTACATAAAACAACAATTTTTGGATGGATTGAGTATTTTAAGGAAGGTTGTAAAGACTTTAAAGATGAAGCACACCAGCCTATGCAACCACAAGGTGTCGAAGGGATCAGGTATAAGGCATCATCAGAACAAAAAAATCTTACCGTAGTGAATGATGGGGGGAGTGCAGAGTGGAGACCCAAAGCCCATTAGTAGGCCACTGGAGATCCCCTTGCAGAGGGGTCTCGGAGAGGAGATGAGCCAGACAGGATGCAATGTAACAACGATGAAAAATACAACTTGCCTCTAGTTCCTAAATGTTTCCTCCCCGCTCCCACTACCATGACTCGAATTCGACCTTGCAAGTCTGGCTAGACCAGAGGAGGTACACTGGTACAGATAGGAACTGAAAATACAGGGACCAGTGGTGTTAGTGGCGAAATGGGGAGGGTGGAGGGAGAGTGGGTGGGAAGTTGGGAACCGATTACAACGGACTATATGTGACCTCCTCCCTGGGGGATGGACAGCAGAAAAGTGGGTGGGGGGGAGACGCCGGACAGGGCAAGATATGACAAAATACCAATTTATAAACTATCCAGGGCTCATGAGGGAGGGGGGAGCGGGGAGGGAGGGGAAAAATGAGGACCTGATGTCGGGGGTTTGAGTGGAGAGAAAATGTTTTGAGAATGAAGTACAAATGCGCTTTACACAATTGATGTGTGTATGGATTGTGATAAGAGTTGTATGAGCCCCTAATAAAATGTTTTTTAAAAAAAGATGAACAAAAAGAGAGGTTGGCACAGTTCGGGTACTACTGTTTTGTTTTTGATTTTTTAATCTTTCAAGGTTGCAAGTCAATCACAGGATTACTAGGAAAATTTTTAAAAATTGAAAAGTGTTGGTGAGAAAAAGGCCAGGAAAGTTACACAGAAAACATTTTTCTCACCTTAATGCACCTGCTCATTCTGTAAGGGTAGCAAGGGCTGTCCTATGAAAATTTCATTGGGAGACCTTACCTCATCCACCACCCTACAGCCTTGATCTTGTTCCTTCAGGCTGCTTTTCGTTCCCCAACATCAGAGGACATTTAAAAGGAACATAATTCGACTCCTTAAGAATGGCAAACTTCCATTTTGATGTGATGTGAACCAGAGTGCAGTTTTGGGGGATAGGATTAGAGGTAGAAACATTTGTCTTCATAAGCATATAGGCGGAAGTGGGAGGATATATCCAGAAACAATAGCTTTGTGTTTTGATATTATAGTTTTAATAAAGGCTTCTCTAATTTTGTAGCAACATTAAAAAAAAAACCTCATATGTGGCTTCAAACCAAAGAAACTTGTTTTCTAACATCACTGATCATTTTCACAAACATAGCTAATGCTTCTCAGATCTAAATCACCAAGTACTATAGGAGTTACACTAGGGGATTAGAGGATGAAAGAAGTAAACACTCCCCCCCCCTCCCACCCTTTCAGAAGAGTGCACTTCAGAGGACAGCACTGGGGCTACAGCTTGGGGAGAGGGGCTCCTCTGATTAGAGCACACAGGAGAAACACAAAGGGAGGGAAGGATATACTGGCCCACCAGGGCCCAAGGATGATATTTCTGCTTGGAGCAGACAAAGCAGAGAGAGGACCTTAGGGCTGGCTCCTCCACAAGACACAATGGCCCTCACTAAACCATAGCGCTACAGGGGACAATACTGGAGACAGTGTGGGAGTTGTGCAGAATCTGACCCCATCACCCCAATCTGAAACACTAAGGGCATGCAACAGAGCAACAAGGGGAGTAAAGTGATGAAATCCTCGGGGAATACCAAAAATAGACTTTGGAGACAGAGTGTGGCACCCCATCATACTCAACTGGAAAATACTTATAAAGGCCAACAAATAGACCTTGAACTAGGAGACAGAGTGTGGCACCCCATCATACTCAACTGGAAAATACTTATAAAGGCCAACAAATAGACCTTGAACTACTTATAGGCCTTTCCATTTTTGTCAGTGGCTTTCTTTTTGTTGTTGTTTTGTTGGTATTGACTTCCTTTGTTGTTTTATTTGGCCTTGCTGGGCTTATGCGCTTATTCATCTGCATGTCTATCTAGATAGATAAGCGGGATAAATAATTTGGAGATGAAAAGAACAGGACCAATGGTTCTGGGGGGATAAGGGAGAAGGAGAGGTGGGAGAAAAGAAGGGAGAAGGGGCGC